CATCCTAATAAAGTTCGAAATGCACAGATTGAATTCAATTTACAACCAAAAGTTCATGTCCTGTAAAAATGCGTCTAACATATGGAAACTTTTCAAAGAAATTACTGGTGGTAAGCAGATGAACAGTTTTCCTTTTCCCCTTGATGTTTCCAAACTAAACAAGTCCTTCATACATTCTCCCACGAATGCCAAACTTTCTAATGTTACAAGTATTAATGAAACCTGCTTCCCTGGATTTACTACAAATGACGTTCTAAAATGTCTCCAGTCTATGAACCCTTCTTGTAGCCTGGGTCCAGATGGTTTGCCTGGTGTTATTTTTAAAAATTGTGCAGATATCCTGTGTTATCCTCTCATGGACATATTTAATGATTCTTTTTCTAAAAATGTCGTGCCAGCCGCTTGGAGGGACATTAAAATTGTACCTATTCCTAAGTCGTCTACTGCGACAAGTTTTAAACTCAGACCCATTGCTATTACTTCCCCTTTTCTAAAAGCTATGGAAAAGTTGCTCTTACTTAATCTTCAACCTTCACTTAAAGCCTTTAATGATCCCAAACAATTCGCCTACAAACATAGTAGAAGTACTTTGGACGCAGCTGCAGTCCTGTATCATAACATTGTCTCCAGCTTAGACAAGGGGGCTAAATTTGTTCGCTGCACCTTTCTAGATTATACATCTGCTTTCGACTCAGTACCTAGGGACATTTTACTAAACAAGCTTGCTGAAAATGAAACTGACTGCTGGGTAGTCAAATGGCTCCATTCTTATTTCTCAGAAAGAAGGCAATACACTGTATGTCAGGGAAAGTCGTCCACTTCACTGCTTACTGAGGCTGGTGTCCCTCAAGGCGCTGTCCTTTCTCCTTTTCTGTTTTCTTTCTTCTTGCATGACTTGCCTCACTCCGATGAAATGAACTTTGTTAAGTATGCCGATGATCTAACTATCCCAATGTCTGTTAACTCTCAACTTGACTGTATTAAGATAAACAACTTTCTATCAGAAATTAGCAAATGGTCTTCGTCTAACGGCCTTAAACTTAATCCTTCCAAATGTCAGACTGTTAATTTCAGTTTCCGATGTAAAAGAAAGTTAAATGAAGCCGTTGATTCATATGACCCTTGCAAAATCGATGATACTGATATAGAAATCAAGTCTGAAGTTAAGTATCTTGGATTAGTTCTCTCTTCTGACCTATCTTGGTCCTCTCATGTCTTAGCGATTTCTCAAAGAATATTTCGTCTGACTTTTTACATTAAGAAGTTGAGGCACTCAGGCATAACCCAACGACTCCTCTTACAGTTTGTCAACTCGTGTATTTTACCTATTCTTCTTTACTGTTCACCCTTATTCTTTCCTGGATTGCTTAAAAAGGACTATGTCATACTTCGTAGAACTCTGAAGACTGTCAGCAGGGCGAGTGGTATCCCATTGGGCCATATCGTTGGCATTGTCACCGATAGGCATTTGATGTCATGCAACAGATTCGCTAGAGGAATTTTGTCAGACTCTGAGCACCCACTCTACCAGCAGCTCCGACCTTGTGTCTCCTCAGGTAAAACAAGAAGTCTTTTCAGAAGACTTTATGCACGTACGTCTAAGTATAAAAATTCCACTATACCATATTTAGCACTTACTCTATGTGATGAAGGTAGTGTCAGAAATGAACTAACTAACCTTCTTAGCACCACCAAATAGACCATTTCCTTCACCCTTAAAGCATCATACTTTATTGTTATTGTATTTCTTATATTTATAATCCTCTCAATATTTTCGTTTTGTTTGTTTTATTTTTCATAAGTGTGGACATAATTTTAAGCTGTATTATGACTGTTAACTTTGTATTTCACCTCACTATACCATATCAACAGAACATTAGACCCAATTATCCATAACATGCTAAAGTTTCCAAACTGAATCGACAATACCGTTTGAAACAAACTCACTGTTATTAGTATTTATTATTATTATTATATCTAGTAATTATGTCGCTAATGTGGACAAATTCCTCCGATTAATTTTTGTTTTAATTTTTAATTTTATATACACTTTAAGTAAATCAGATGCAATATTGTGACAAATGCTGGGAATTCCATTCTGTATTATAAGTACTGTTTTTGGAATAAAGTAAATTATTATTATTAAAATATGCCTTGGATAGTTATTCATTGCAGAATAACACATTGGTGTGGTGCCTTCACTTGTAGGCACTTGTTCGAACAATGCAACGCCTTTGGACCGAACTAAGCTAACCACTGAGATCATAAAATTCAAATGGAGCAGGAACAAACAACAAATAAAGATAAAATAAGTTCTCCTACCTATAAAAACTTAGTGAAGAGGACGTGTATTATTACAATAGGTTTGTTAATCAATAAACCACTGGAAAGCAAATATAAATGGATACTTTTCTGGTCAGATTACCATATGTTGAATAATTTGTATTGACCAAAACATCGTACTCCATTTTCTAAAGAAACTAGATGCAGGGGAGTTATCTGCATCTAAGGCTTCTTGAAGCACTATCAACTCAGGTGGTTGGGCCACTGACTACTATCCTCAAACTATATCTCTTAAACGGAGTGTTACTACGTGACTGGGAATATGCCGGAGTAACCCTCATCCACAATGGGGAATCAGGATACCCTCCTTCAAACCACAGGCCTATCGGTCTTACAAGTACTTTAATCAAGATACTGTAAGGAATCACCAAGAAACCTTTTTTAGATTCTGATGGTGTTAACGTTCACGGATAGTACGATGCATAGTAACGTGAGATCCAATACTGACAACTTCTACAGTATTCGTTCCGTGCAGACCAAAGACAAAGCAAAACACCGAATTGATCGTCCAAACTGGGAAGTATATTTCGGGATCAAATCGAAGTGCGAGGTTGACTGCTTAACTAGATAGGGATCGTGCACGAGCTAACGAATGTAACACGACAGCGCACCAAGTGGTATGGATGCTAGACCTCAAGACTTCAGATAAACAAGTCGGATTAAATAGTGGGGTCCAGCATCCGATTTTTAATGATGAATTCTGTGGCTAATAATTCTGGGGAATAACCTACTGCTACACTATCATAGCACATCTAGAAAACAACATCTCGCTTTCCAGAGCAAAAAATGACTTTTATGGAAACCTACGACGCCTTGAAAACGTTCTTACGGCAAAATAAAGCTGGGTCAGGTTGAGGGATAACAGAAGACGCATCTACGTCGTTTTCACAGACATCAGCGAGGATTTTGACTAAGTACCTCACACAGGTTTGCTCGTGAAACTTTTGGGAACAAGAGCAGATTACCAAATTGGATTAGGGACTTTATCATAGCTAGGAGACAGAGAGTCATTATCTGGTAGGATCGCGCAAAAAGTAGTATATCACCGTGTGTTGTTTTCTTCGTTGTTGTGGTTGTTGTGATTACAATACGCAGTCACAGGCCAGCCTTCGTCTTTTAATATTTGCATGGCTCGGTGAACGGGAAGGTACTACAGGCGGGTAGGCCTATCAGACAGGCACAGACAGAAAAAAGCGACTACGGTTTTCATGCAGTTCAGTAGCAGTTATAACAGGATCAACTCAAAATTCTTCTACCGGACAACAGTATGTAATGAGTGCTCTACTCGGACGTTTTTATTTATCTTGCATACAGATCAGTTGGCTGTGCTCACCAAGTCCCCAGTGGTTTTCAAAATGGATGATTTGGGTATCTGGAGTGGGCTTAAGGTGACAGTGACACTTCACTTCGCACGCAGGTCTCAACAAATTAATATAGTGGCCCAAATAATGGATGTTCCCGATGGACGTACCGAAACGATTAAACATACGAATTGGACACACAAGTGTTAACTTATAAAACCTATGGGGAATAACGCTTTCATCATTTCATACTCACATGGCATAAAAATTCATTCATCCTAAGTTAGTAAATCTGGGTAGACATCTAAATTCGTCGTTTCACTTCTTTACATATTCTTCTGTCTTACTTTCCTGACTACTCTAACTACTACACTTGCACTTACTTTAGTTATTATTATTGATATTACCTACACATAAACATTTATACATGCATATATATCAACTTTAAATTAAATTAGCTGTCTGTTTTTACGTTTTCTTAATTTCTTTTTTTGTCTTTTAGTCTGAATAACCTACACTAATTATATCCCCTATTATTATCTCTTTTCTTTTGACGACAGCACTAACTGGTGAAAGGATCTACTCCATTCACAGTAGCAACAAAGACTTAACACACCGCCTACTACAAACAACATATAATTAATCCCAGCACCACTACTTTTGGAGTCAACCAGAGCTACGACAGTCAAGTGGCGGGACGAACTACGCAGAAATTTACCGAAGACCAGGAAACTTTACCTCACAATAAGGAGCGTGCACAAAGAAATCAAATTGATTCATACTAGCTCATGAAAGGCTGGACTTATCCGGCATGTTGGTTGAAATTTCGCTCGGCAAATTTTTTTGTCAATAATTTTTAATAAAATTTTGTTATATGTTTTCTGGATTGATAGGAATTCTCATTTCCTGGCTATTATGTTGGTGTTCGCGTCATTTAATCTGACTGCGACACACTTAGCATATTGGTTGTAATGATTAGTGTTTCATACTGAATGCGTCAAAACATCTCTACAATGAAGAAGATGGGGTAGTTGGGGGGTAATGTCACCTACACAAATAGTTTATTTCTTGTAGAAGCTGCAGCTTCCGAAATAGTGTCATTCAATGAAGATTACGTCAAAATGTGGCTATTTTCGTGTGAAGAACAGTACTATTTTACAAAAGAATGCTATCAGTACATGGGAATCACCTATAAATGCCAACAGAACGTAAAACCAATGTGTAAACAAACGGCTACGGAACTGCAATCCAACATAGCCGACTAACATAGACGAAAATGACCTTTGAGCGTCTCACTCCATCAACGACCTTGAGCATGCGGGATAATTTCAGCCCTCATGAAAACGATATGGATATGGGATATTGAACCAGCGCAACTTTCCAAATTTGGCGTTGCTTTGGTTTACCAAGCTTATTATTTTTATATCGGTAATTCCTTTAGAGTTTTGCCACAGTAAAGACATATTCTTGACGAAGCGTTTAAAGACTCTACAATGGAGCATCAGTTTATGTTCACATATACAAACATTAAAATGTTTGTTGGCCTTCTGAGGTTTTACTTTCCAAAGATGTAACTGCATTTTTTTGAACTGAAGATACAGAAATTTTGTGGGGCTTAGTGCAGTACAGTTTTACTTGGGATCGTATGGAAGGATGACATAGTAAAGCATTGAATTCATCTGGGAGATGCGTCCCTCACGTAGAAAAGGCGACTTGAATGATTGCCAGTGACAGCCGTCACCATCACTGTCTGGCTGGGGAGTTTCCCTGAGCTAAACCACCACGACTGAAAGTGCTTGGTTTAAAACACTGAATAGCTCGGTTTTCAAACTTTCTGTGGTTCCAGCAAATATTTCGAGTATTAGGAGATGTGGTCCGCTGCTTTGAAAGGACCGTCGACATTGGCCTGGACTCTGGTCTACCACATCAATCACGTAGGCTGGTCAGTTTCAAATTTTTCTATCCTGTCTGCTAATACAAATACACATACAGATATTATATATGCACTCAGAAATAAAAGTGATAACAATATAAATATACAGTTTATAAGGCTAAAATGTTCAGTCAGGCTCATCAATTAGTTTGTAGGGGACTTTATAGCGAGCTGATTAACAGAACAAATACTAGAATAGAAGTTAATGAAAAGATAGTGTAACAGTATATTATAAAAGATACAGCAATGATTTATATAAATTAACTGGTTACTTGGTTATAGAGATAAAGTCCGCCGCTACAAATTATCAATATAATCCACAATATTGTTCACTGCTGGAGTTGTGTCTACTAGTAGAAGCTGTGCATTGGTTGTGGAATAGTCTTCGGATGAGGATAAGAGGTTCCTGCAAAATCCAAAGCATACAACACAGGTAGTAGTGAAACAAGTAGGCAGTTAAACTAACCAGCTCAGAGAACACAACTAATTCCAAATCATCCATCTGAGCTACAAATCTTCTCTATTATTTCAAGTAGGCAGCATAGACTAGTGATAAGACAGCGAGCAGCACACTGTATTTTAGATTGTACTCCACAATTATGTATATTTCAGTATGAATCGTTGTTAAACAGAAGTTTTGTACAATGCTTCTAATTTCAACACCTAACAAAAATTGTACAATCGTATTGTTACAGACTCCACACGTCTTTTTGGAAATTAAGGAGGAAGGGTGCAGTTATTGAGGAGAAAGCTCAGAAATTATGCGCAAAATTGGGAAATAAGGCGCCATCTGGGAGAAAAGGGGGTTCAGTAGCAAATTCTTTGTTTTCTCCTTTCGGTTCACTGAGTCCCCTTTTTATTCAAAGTGTACACCAGCGGTTCCCCTTTGGTTGACTTGGACTGTATGGTTTTCTTATTTTATTTATTTTTTTGATTTGATTTTACAAATAAGGTGGCTTGACTCAGAAATACATGAACTGATATGCTTAATTGTGTTTGAACGATCGGTTTTCCCAACATTTGAGCTATATCAAGTTTAGGTAAAAAGCAGTGGTTCCATGGCAGTTTTTGTCTTTAATTAGGACGCACGCTAGTTCCAAGGGCGGATTCTGGGGGCACTTGAAAAACAGTCCTTTTATAGAATTAATGTCTGCCCCACTCAACGGATCAAGGTAATCAGACGGATGAATTAGTGTTGTGAATATTTCCCTATAGCCATTCCATATCGTTCAGTTGATTGTTCACCTGAGTCTGTGCACTTTAGTTTATCCAATGTAATGTAATGATATGACAATGTCCTTATCGTTTGAAATATGGGTGTTATTGGAAGGCGATACATTGTTATCGCACTCATCACACATTGAAAAAAGTCAAACTAATGAATGTAATGTTTGACGTGGATCTAGATCTCCAAATTAATAAATTCTACAACCATACTTTCAAAAATTATCAAAAAATTAACTACAGTGGCTTTCTTCTCATATAGTCAGTGCATACATTTGAAGTACTAGCCACCATGATTTGCTGAAGTTCAAATGACATAAATCCGCGATCTTGGTTTCTTTAAGCTTCTGTTATCAATAAGTGTGGTAGGTGATATTTAGTACTCGTCAATAGCTTTTATATTTTCAAGTCATTTTACAAAAGTTGATCACCTTTTGTTGGTTCCGAAGTGGTTGTTACGAGTGCATTCGTTTCTCACAAGACAAAACTTCATGTGTGAAGGCTACCTAACGATAACTTACACGTCCCTTTATGATGAATTAGCTTGGTTTAGAAATCATTTTGATATGAACTTGAAGCATAATGACTGTGTGGGCCTACAAGTGAGATGTGAGGTTCATCTTGAAGTAATATAGCTGAATTATTATTATTATTATTAAAACACAAATGTTACATTATAGGCACTAAGGGATACTCCACATCAAGTCTCATAGTTTGTGCAATGGCTGGGATACTATCGGGACACCCATACCAAAGCGGGTGGTTATCTCTAGGGTGCACCCCTCGAGCCTATAACTTGAAGTCTGATCCATAAGGTAACGTGCGCAGCGTCAGAACCTGCGTTCTCCTGATGACCGAAACAGTACCGTACGCTGTTTGATCCGTTCAGATTGTGAAGCCCATTTAGACTTTCTGTTTGGAATGAGGGTTTTCCAGCTCCCAGCAGAATGTCCTGTCGTAAACACCAGACTTTTGTATTCACCCTTTCACTTTTTTCTGAGGAACACATGTTCGCGTGAATATGATCGTATGGCCCATGAAAGCGTTTGAAGACGAAGACCGAAGTCTCCTTACCTTCAGTCCTACCAGGTTGTTCATGGGATACTGTGGCTAGATTATCCAATTTGCACTATCCATAAACGTCAAATTAAACTTTTGATCTATTAGTGTATCAAGACTTTAAAGCGTCTTTGATGGAGGGCTAAGGTGCTCAAGTCATTTGGCATTCCATAAGCAAGTTGCACCTAAAACTCTCAAATCAAAGATCCTCTTAGGATGCATACACAGGAATTTCAGCGATCATAACGCTGATATAATATAGGACAAAAGGTGTTCATTTGGATACAAATCTGAAAATTAAAAGTGTTTAAATATATTTTACACATAGACTACCTAATTACTGTATTTTATATGTTAAAAAGTTTTTCGGTGAATATTATTTGCTTCTTGTTATAGTTACATTAAAATATAATTTAGAGAGAAGCGACCTTGTGGGTTGCTCCCCTCAAAACCAGGAAAACAAGGAATAAAACAATCAGAACAACACCAGTACAGGAAAATAATTCACAACAAGAAGGGTAACAAGCGACAACAACAATAATAATATCACAGTCAAGTACAGTTAATCAAAATGATACCAAAATCATAGACTCACTGACTTGAGTCAACTTGAACATGTAAATCCATCAATGAATACAATTATAGATATTAGTTAGTGTTAAACAAGCACAGAGTGGCAAATAGATAGTTATAGGTATTATCGATCAGCAATATTATATCCAAAGATTCAGTGTTTGAAAGGCAAATAATTGCAATAGTTTTTTGCTACTTTTTGGCAAGATATTTCACAAAAATAAGAGTTTTATGTAACTATGTTAATGTAACGTAGTAATCGAAAAGCGCATCCAAACTAGCCCTCGAGTGCAACCCGAAAGGAAAGCGGCGAGTTGGTCGTCAGTGCAAGGGTGACTTGGAGGAGGTCATGTGAAGAGGAGATGAAAGCGTGTGGGCAGACTTGGAGCCAGGTGAAGACTCTAGCAGAGAACCGAACGCAATGGAGACGCACGGCTGAAGCCCTATGTTCCTTTAGGAATTAAAGGAACAAATAATAATAATAATCTTGTTATAGTTGCATTAGTAAACTGTCAGTAATTTCTTACGGACCATGTATTTGTTGAAACTGACATTTATTTGTTGTCATCATATTTATGTGCTTGTATGTTAACCTTATAATCTGGTGTAAATAATCATGTTTATCGATTATTCACCGGATGAGTCTTTCTAAAATTCATGATTTCTACGAGTTGATCACGGATTGATATCAGTTAGAGAACCATTGAAAACCAGGGAGTACTGGACAGCTGCTGTTTCATCCTAGTTTGGGAATCATCGGCAGTACGCACTTACTGGGATTCGAACCCAGGACCTTCCGGTTACAAGGCAAGTTCGTATACCATTCAGCCACTGGGACCCGATTCAATGGCTCATGAATTGGGGTCGCGCTAAATTACGAATGGGTAGAAGTTAGAATTCATCAGCCATTGAGTCGGCTCCCAGTGGCTGAATGGTATACGAACTTGCCTTGTAACCGGAAGGTCCTGGGTTCGAATCCCAGTAAGTGCGTACTGCCGATGATTCCCAAACTAGGATGAAACAGCAGCTGTCCAGTACTCCCTGGTTTTCAATGTTTCTCTAACTGATATCAGTCCGTGATCAACCCGTAAAAACATAACTAACCCTTACAAACTAAACTATAGAAAATTCATGATTTCGTTTAATAATGCTTTTAAAACAGTTGTTACTTTCGTTTTAAAAAAAACAGTGTTATGACCGCTAGTCTTCCAGACACGTGCAATTCAGTTTTCATTAACATGTAATAATCATCAATATTACGCTTTTTTTTTAGATTTTTAGATGAGTAGTGTATAGTTTGCTCGATACTATGGATTTAGACGTAGGCCTTGTTTCACCGGATATACAAATGGGAGAAGTTTATGAAGTTTTGAGATCTTCTGGCCAATACTGTAATTAGTATAGTATAGCTGTTGTAAAATAACAAAAAATTTTCTTTAGATCCTGCAACTATAATCGAAAGCCGTATAAATGGTGCTGGAAATAAAGAATATTATGTACATTATTGTAATCGTATGTTTTTTTTTCAAAAAAAAAACAACTGTATATTTCCCAATGATTTAGAGGATCGCAGACTTGATGAATGGGTGACAGAGGAACGAATTAATTATTCTGCAAAGCTAAAATCTTCTGAATCTATTGATTATTTGTCAAATTCTATTGGAAATGATATTAGATTTACCAGGAATCAAAAACGCAAGTTAAAAGAAACGACTAAAGTTCATCAGGTAAATTTCCATTTTTGTGAGAACTAGTTTTCATATGGTAATCTCCTCGTCACATGACCTCCTCCAAGTCACCCTTGCACTGACGACCAACTCACCGCTTCCCGATAGGGTTCCACTCGAGCAATGGCTTGTCTAGTGATGTCACTTGATGGTTTGTTTCCTCAGAGTATGGCTACCAGTCCATCTCCATTTCTTCCTGCTTATTTGTTTCACAATCGGTTGCTGTGTTGGTTCGCTCATTGCCAGAGAACTATGTTGCTGATCATCTCTGCCCGGCCATCTGATCTTTAGCATTGAGCGAAGACAACTGTTAATGAAGGTCTGTAGTTTGTTTGAGATGCTCTTTATGACGCGCAGTGCAAGTCTCTGATCCGTATAGTAGCACTGACTGACCTTACTTTGGAGTTGAAAATCCGGATCCTATTCTTGTTGCTGAGTGCTATTGACCTCCACACAAACTTGAGAGTAGTGAAAGCTTGTCTTGCATTTCCGATTCTTGCTTTGATATCCTCGTCAGTTCCGTCGGCCTGTAGTTGAAACGGTGCTTCCCAGGTAGGTAAAAGAGGTTGTTTCTTTCAGGTTCGTCCCCTTTTATGCTGATTGTTGTCTGTTGTTGTTGTTGTTGCCGTTGATGGTGTTGCCCAGGAATCTTCATCACCTCTGTTTTCTCTATGTTCGCCTGAAGTCCTATCTTCTCTGGATGCTTCTTCTGCCAACCTGTTGCTTTTCGCTTGCATATCTTGCAGTTTGTGGGAAATCAGACATATCATCGGAGAAGTCCAGATCCTCCAAGTTTTTAGTGTGAGTCCATTTTATGCCTGTTTCCTCATTGCCCGCTGTCTACCTGCCGCATTATCCAATCTGCTGCAATCAGGAAAATCATTGGCGATAGTAGGCAGCCAGCTTGTCTTACTCCTGTGCTCACTTCGAAGGGTTCCGTAAGTTTCCCGTTGTGGATTACTTGGCACGCAGCATTGTCGTACATCTGTTGGATGAGATGTATAATTGTCGGTGGCACCCCATAGTAGCCAAGTAGTTGCCAAAGCACCTCTCGACCGACGCTGTCGAAGGCCTTTTCAAAGTCGATGAAGTTGAGATAGAGAGGTAACTGCCATTCCAAGCTTTGTTCAATGATGATCCGTAATGTGGCGATCTGATATATACATAACTAGTTTCTCCTGAATCCAGCCTGTTCCGGTCTGTTCTGAGTTTACCAATAAAGTGTACTACAATACATGCATGCATTTTACTAGAAAGAAGATACTGGTGTACTCTTGTTTCAGTGTTGTTATTGTTGTCAATCTTGGCGAGGAGGAGGAGTATCTACGATTTTAGCATAACTTGATTCACTCAGCACCCCAATATCAGGGAGTTTACTAATACTCTCATTAGATTTTACTATCGACCCACCCATAGGTCCAAATTAACGAGACACTATTCATTTCTTGATGTTATGGATGCACCTTATTGATTGACATGAACAAGCATGGATAGCTGGTTAGATAACCATATGGAATAAATCTTTCTAACATGAACATTTGAATAACCTAGTTTTTAAAATTTCCGATACATCCGTTATCTTTCATCTCACTACTGATTATTCTTTGATTGGTAGTTACTTAGGTGATACTAGCAAAAAGTTATTTGGTTGTGTATTGAGTATAAGATAACTCTTCGTGCATCACATGTTTTTATAATTGATTTTTTTTACCCTTGGCCTTCCTAGTGGAACATAGGGAGTCAAACTTGAGCTTTAAAGTTTCAGTAGAGCAGTGGTGTTTCTTTTTACGCGGTGGGGGGGGGGGCTACTAACCTTACATCCAACTTCCCCTTTTTCCGGTCTTACTATCATCTGTAAAGTAAGCGAGGTTCTGGAGTGTTCATCAGCTTGCAGTCGGACACAGACCTCCCTCGTGACAACTGGTGGTTTGCTTTTCCGTGAAAGGAGGATTTGATTGCTACCGCCTTGGTATATATAATTGTTCTTTTATTACTAAGTGTCAATTGAAGGAGTTAATTTTTGATGCTGTAGTAGATTTGTTTTGGGTATTTAACTTTCAACCAGTGTGTCGCCTGTTCAGACTTCACCTTCAACCTACTGGATTTCGGTCAGCCAGATTGTGTCATCGGCTCCTTCACATTGTCCACTCCACTAACACACATGCGATTTCTGAGGATTCAATCAGTCATTCTGTTTGTCTGTCTGTTTTCGATATAGAACTTTGCACATATGCGCGACAGTTCAAGTCGCCACACTCCCTCCTTGTAGCACACAAAGCAAGAGAAAAAAGTAAGAGAAGTGCATATTAGAGACAGTAAACAGAGGTGTGAGACAAAGGAATAGTAATAACGAAGAACAAAACAGTTTCATTGGAAATCATAAGTCACAAGGAGCGGATGCATCTGCAACAGCCATCACTGAGAACGATGAGTTTGAGCCATGTCACCAATTGTTTGCAACCATTGGTTTTTACCGTCCCGAGGACTCCAAACAATCAGGAAGTCTACACCTCCACCCTACGTGGTTTAGACTAACTGTTGTAGATTTCATTGACTGGTGCCATGTTTTCGTTTGACCGCCGCTATCTCTTTTCCAGCCTGACCCTACATCAGCTAACATTGCCTATTGTCGAGGAAGGCGATGACTAGGCATACGTTCCGTACCACATGTCCTAACCATCTCAGTCGATGTAATTTCACAGTCTCGTCTATTGATTTCCCCTCCTTACCTAGCACTCGATGCCTAACCTCAATATTGCTCACCTTATTATACCACTTCACTTCAGTCATTCACTTGTAAAATAGACCATTAAACAATTATGTGAAATTTTAGATTACAAAACTTAAACAAGTTGGGTGTATTGATCATTGTAATTGAATATTGTCTTACTGATTAACTTTACACAACAATGCAGTAGTGTCAAGTTGCCAAACTTCATATAGCACACAAAGGTAGAAAAAAGAGGAGAAATAAAGTTTCAAAATGACTGTAATAAGCAGAAATGTGAGCGAGTAACGTAAAAAGACATAAGGGTTTAGTGAATATAAGAGTACGGTGGTGGTGAGGCATATCATCAATAGTTTCCAGCCAGTGGTTCTTAGCATCCAGGGGACTGTGACCAGTTAGCCTACACCTTCTTACATGGATGGATGGCTCAAATCAACTGCTAAAAACTTCATGAATTGATGCCAGCACTTTATTTGACCACTTTTAACTCCTTTTTCAACTTAATCCAACGTCAGCTAATATATTGCTTGACGAGGAAGTTGGCAGCACAAGTTGGCGGGCACAACACATGTCCTGACCATTTCAGTCAATTCACTTCCCTCATTCCTTACGTAATACTGTAACAAAAGAAGACAAGGGCCAGGCAACAGAACGTTTATTACGGAAAATCAACACATATTTATAGATTTTTGATGTACATTATTGTAGGTTAATGTTAGCAGAAAATACAGTCTGTTGATTGGTTGTTTCTCACACAAAGTTAACCTTGCATCTCTTGTGGCTGTGTCAGTTCATCTATATGTTAACTGTATCCGCCTGTCCATCTTGACCTTGACCTCAATTACTACCAAACAATTTGGCTAGCAACCATCTCTCACCACACTCGTCCTCCGTCAAAGACTTGCGACTGAAGTTGGTTCGGTCTTCTCGGTTCTTGGGACTTTGCTCTTTAGTCTTGCTGTCTGGAATCTCGACGATTGCGGATGTTCACTTGTTTCTCTGTGTTTACCATTGCGATTGTGTCTGCGTAACCCCATCTCAACGTGACCATATATGGTCCTTCCCACTTTGGAAACTGTTTGCCTGACCCTGTCGCACATTCGTAGGTATTTCGCCTCACACTTCCATTTGTTGCTTTCTCCCGACCTTCCAGCAGCGTCCCAAGTAGCAGCCTCATCGCTGACAGATCTTGAACGCCACTCAACTGCGAAGAAGCCTCAAAGTCCTGCGCGAAGATCCATATGTCTCCATCAAAAACTGCAGGGCATAGGCTTTCCATTTGTTGGTAGGCAGCGACACGAAATGTAACAATAGAAGACAAGGGCCAGGCAACAGGTCGTTTATTAAGGAAATCAAAGCATATTTATATATTTTCATGTACATTATTATAGTTTAGTTAAGCAAACAAACACAGTCTTCTTATTGGTGGTTGTTTCTCACTGAAAGTTAATCTTTCATCTCTTTGTGACTGTTTCTTGAATGTCAGATCATCTATATGTTCACTGTATCCGCCTACGCAAAGTCTGCTGTGGTTGGTTTCGAATCAGGGCTGGAGACAATTGGTGCTATAACTCAAAATCGTTCTCAATGAGACAGCAGATGCATCCACTCCTTGTGACTTATAATACCCAATAAAATTCTACTGTTCTTCGATATTACTATTCTTTTTGCCTTATATCTCTGTTTACTGTCTCTATTTTGCATCTTTCGTCCTGTTTCGTCCTAGTTTGGGACTCTTCAGTGGCTCAGTGGTCTACGAACTCGCCTTGTAACCAGAAGATCCTGGGTTCGAACCCCGGTGGTTTCGTACTGCTGAAGAGTCCCAAACTAGGCTGACGAAACAGCTGTCCAGTACTCCCAGGTTTTCCAGTAGTTCTCTAACTGATTTCAGCTCATGATGAAATCCTCCATGCAATCAAACAAACAAAAAATCCCTACAAAACCAATACTTGAAAACATCTTTTTTTAAACTTTCTTCTCTTGCTTTGTGTGCTACATGGAGTGTGGCGAATTGAACTGCTGCACATATCGGTGTAAAGTTCTATGTTGAAACCAGTCGTAGTCAGTCAGTCACACTAGAAATGATGTATGTTGGCAAATGCCCCACCAGCTTTTTGTTTCCGTGCTGAGATTTCATCAGCAACAAATCTGTTGGGGCTGATGAAACACCTGCCTGTTTATAAAAGTTATTAGTGTATTGAAGATGTTTAAATGCCTTTAAAGGAATTTATTTTGATATTCACTTATTATCAAAGTCTTTTGGCATACTTTGATGAGAAGAAATGCTTCACTGCAGTCCTTCTTAATAACTAGGATGTGTTGAAAAAAAAAAGACTTGTTTTGCTTGTCAGTTAAGTAGAAGCCTATTTATTCCAACCTTGTGATGAATAAGTATTTCCCTGTCGTGTAATCTTTTTTTTTTCTCCTCACCAGTTTCACATTTCCCTGCTCATTTTTTCTTTTAAAACACAGGAAAGTGATTCTTTGGATTCAACTACACAAAAATTAGAACTTGAACATCAAGAGGTAAGAATAATTAATGTTAATATTATGCAAAATTATCATTTGACTCAAGCTGCCTTATCATTTCGCTGTGTGTGCGTGCGTCCCTGTATGCTCTCTTCTGATCTCTGTATAATTTAATTACTGTGAAGGTATCACCATTGAAACCAAACCAAGTGTTTTCCCACTGCATGATCGATTTCACCATTGATTTATGTGAAGTTAAGCCCACTAACTACCTGAATGGCTGATAAACGTGGTTCCGATAAGTGTAACGACAGAAGACAAGAGTCAGGCAACGGATCTTCATTGTTCGGATGCAGCGACACCAATCGTTCAACCAATGTCTTCCAAGACGCTGTGCCATCTGACCTCTCTACGCTGTCATATGCCGCCTTCGCTCGGCCTCTCAACAGCGTCCCCAGCACAACCGCCTTCGCCGCCTGCTCTTTGACACCCACCAACTCAGCAACGGCCTCGAAGTCACGTAAGAAGCTCCGTATGTCTCCTTCTTCAAACGCAGTTGGCCATAGGAAGCGCACGTCGAAGTAGATTCGTCAATTTCACCGCCAACACTAATGGATCTCCATCAGGTCCGAGCTTCGTTGAACGGAACTGCTGCATTGCCAGCTGTCTGTTTGTTGGACTGTCGAACTACGACACCAATTGTAACGACAGAAGGCGAGAGTCAGGCAACATAAGTAGTGGAAGTGTGGTGAGCTATTCAGACAATCGGTGTGAATGACTGAGTTTCAACATGGAGCTTTGTACAGAAGTGCCACAGGGCATGTAACACGCAAAGGTAGACACAAAGGAAACCTGGGGGGGGTTAGTGGATATTGGAGGTCACATAATGAGTGAAGACATCTGTGCCATTGAGAGCAGTTTTTCGAGCCATATCATCACCAGGAGTCTGCAGTCATTGGTTCTTAGCCGGTCCGACGTGAAAAACCTAGAATACCTGGATTTCGCGCGTGGATGATTTATGTTTGATGTCACACAAAATCGAAGACTTACAAGCGAAAACCGACAAACTGGTCGAAGAAGCTGGCAGCAAAGACAGGACTCCAAGTGAACATAGACAAGACGAAGGTTATGAAAATAACCATCCAACCAACAACAATAACAACAACAACAGCAACATCCAGTGCCAATCACCATCAACGGGAGGCATTTGAAAGAGGTTACTTCATTCACTTATCTAGGGAGAATTGTCTCAACTACAGGAGGAACGGACGAGGATGTCAAATCGAGAATCCGCAAGGCGAGAAACACATTCATCAACCTGAAACCAATCTGGAAATCTTCCGCTGTCACTCAGCATCAACAACAAAATTCCGATTTTCAATACAAACGTCAAGTCAGTCAGTTCTTCTATACGGATCAGAAACTTGGCGGGTCACAAGGAATATTTCCAACAGCCTGTTGCAGACCTTTATCAACAGCTGTCTTCGCTCTATAGTGAAGATCAGATGTCCGCCGGAAAGAATCACCAACAAGAAACTATGGGAAGAAACAAAGCAAGAACCAATCGCCGCTCAACAAATATGCAGGAGAAAGTGGAGATGGATTGGACACTAGCTGAGGAGGCCGTTGGGTAACATGACGCGTCAGGCCATAGCTCGAGTGGAACCCGAAAGGGAAGCGGCGAGTGGAACGTCAGTGATAGGGCGACATGGAGGAGATCATGTGAAGAGGAGCTGAAACAGTATGGACTAACATGGATGCAGGTGAAAAGTACAGCAGAAGACAGAAGCAAGTGGAGACGTGTAGTTGAAGCCCTATGTTCCACTAGGAATCCAAGGGAACGGTAATAATAAATAATATCCTGAGGATATCCTTATGGGACTAGCTGAAATTGACAGTCAAAGACTTCACATGGATTGATGCCAGATTAGGATTTGACTACGCCTGACCCTTTTTCAAACTTAGTCATCTAACATTACTTCGTCAGGGAAGGTGGTAGCTCATCATGTGCGTAACACGTGTTCTAGCTATCTCGGTCGATGTTGTCGCTTTACAACCTGGCCGATTGACTTACCCTGTCTACCTGATATTTTACGCTTAACGTCAATATTTATTACTCACCTCATTGTACCACTGAACATAGGAGATAGAATGCAAACATCTGTAGCCAGTATGAATTATTATTGTTTCCTTTAATTCCTAGAGGAACATAGGGCTTCAGCCGTGCGTCACGATTGCGTTCGGTTCTCTCCTAGAGTCTTCACCTGGCTCCAAGTCTGCCCACACGTTTTCATCTCCTCTTCACATGACCTCCTCCAAGTCACCCTTGCACTGACGACCAACTCGCCGCTTCCCTTTCGGGTTCCACTCGAGCAATGGCTTGTCTAATGATGTCACTTGATGGTTTCCTCAGAGTATGACCAATCCATCTCCATTTCTTCCTGCCTATTTGTTTCACAATCGGTTCCTGCTATGTTGGTTCGCTCCCAGAGATCCCTCCTTGTTGCTGATCTTTTCTGACCGGCCATCTGATCTTGAGTAGTATTGAGTGAAGACAACTGTTTATGAAGGTCTGTAGTTTGTTTGAGATGCTCTTTATGACGCGCAGTGCAAGTCTCTGATCCGTATAGCAGCACTGACTTCCCATTGAAGATAAAAATCTGGATCTTATTTTTGATGCTGAGTGCTGTTGACCTCCACACAGACTTGAGAGTAGTGAAAGCTTGTCTTGCTTTTCCGATTCTTGCTTTGATATCCTCATTAGTTCCGTCCGCCTGTAGTTGAAACGATGCTTCCCTGGTAGGTAGGTAAAAGAGGTTATTTCTTTCAGGTTCCTTCCATTGATGCTGATTGTTGTCTGTTGTTGTCGCTGTTGGTGGTGTTGCCCAGGAATCTTCATCACTTCTGTTTTCTCTATGTAGCCAATGAATGAATATCCCTCGCATAATCATGTTACTTCTAAGTAGTGATTGGTTGAGCACTAAGGAAGGTCACACACTGTTATCCACCAATAGCAGTACTTTAACACTTTATAATACATGATGGACTACTCAATCACTATTTCCCCATTGAGAAGGCAAGATTTTATTCGGTTTAAAAGGAAAGCAAATAAGCGGAAAAATGTAACTACGTAAATAGTTATTTTATTTGACCAGATAATGTATGTACGTTGCATTTTGATCAGTTAGTAGATTGTCAACAGAAATTCATTTATATATAACCTTTGCTATAGGTTCACAACTAACACCACTGATCCGTAATATGTTCACACATTTCGTGTTAACAATGTCAGCCAACTATCGTTTTGACTTGCTCTAAGATTTCAGTAATTTGTTTTAAGTTTGTGTTTTCCCACTTTATATTGACTGTCTTTTATGCTTAATTGGGGGACGGTGACTAGCAGTGGAATCCAGGATGCGCATTTCGTCCTATATATATATATATATATATATATATATATATATATATATATATATATAAGCGTGTTTAGAAACGATAAAACAGTTTTGAGATGATTGGAAGCAATCGACAGGAAAGCCTTGAACCTAGATTTCGTGCTTGTTGACAGTCGTCATCAAGACCTATCTGCAATCTTGAAGAAACTCATGTCCCTTCTGAGATTCGAACATGGGTCATCTAGTACTGCAGTCAGACACGTGTTACCACTGAGGTGTAGGGGTTGACAATTGTGTTTCTGTAGGACTACAATGCATTTCTTGGTTGAAAAGTGTGTAATAAATAATACCATGCGTCTGTTCTTCCGTTTGGTGCAAATCGAATTTTATCACTCAAGTTCAGAGGTTATATGCGTTCTTTCAAGATTGCAGATATGTCTTGCTGACGAGTGTCAACAAGCACGAGACACTAAGGTTGAAGGCTTCCTGCCTATCGATTGTCTCCAACCATCTAACAACAATTCAGGGTGCAGCATGGTGGCCAAATGAAGGACTAGAAGGATAACATCGGTGAAAGGATAAAACCGTTTATTCAGGATACTCGACTAGGTTTAACAAGTTGGGCTAGATGTGAAGTAAATGTCTTTTTCGCAAGAATAGGTATGATCCAGTTATGTTTTAAGTAAATTTATAGTATTCAGTTTTATTCCTCTAACTGATTTTCTCATTTTAGCTTTTTCAGATAGATTTCATTTAGTTTCATCACCAACGGACATCACGTGAAGAATTACTGAAGATCAAAGAGCATCGTATAGTTTCCTCCACCCCCTACCTCCACCCCGTTAGTTTGGGACTCTAGCAATGTGAACCTATGACTCTGTCGGGGACCAATCGATCTAGGACCTTATGGTTGTGAATTCTAAATTCTATCATTTCGCGATATAGTTCTACTGTTGTTACTTATTCAAAACACAAACTTAGTGCATTATGGGCACCAAGAGGATGCGTCACACATTCTGCTAGGGCTAGGATACTTACTGCCCAGGCTTCCTTAGTGAAACAGATGGTTTTCTTAGGCGGGCCACCCCTCCCAGGCCTTTGACTTTAAAGGCTGATGCACAAGGCAAGCGAACAGCGAACATCAGGAACTACATTCCCATGGTCCCTGGTGACCGAAACACGATCGGTTCGGATTGTGGAGCCGATATCTACACAATAGGTTTGTAATGTGAAGGTTTTCTGGCTCCCCTATGTAGACTAGAATGTTCACCACCTATCCAGTTGTAAGCTCCAAACGTTTGAATTCACCCTTTTTGTGTTTTATGTGAGGAACACCCATGCCTCGTGAAATCCAGTGAATAGGAGTTACCTGGCAGAGACTATGAATGCATGACCACATCAGATTATTTCAAGAAAAGGAACAAAGTTTGCTCACCCTCAGCCGTATCAGGTTGTTAATCAATCAATCCCATCAATGAGCGTACACTTCACAACTCCACCTGCCTCGACTTGTCATTAGAACTGTAGGACGTCTATCCAGTAGTCACTGATGGTGACTTGGTCATTGAATTCCATCCAGTCTGTTAAGTGAGAATGGTCGATGAGCTCATCTCTTAAGCTGAAGACCCTGGATTCAATCTCCAGTAGGTGGGATCATAAGTACGCATTGCTTAGGTGAAACAGCTATCCATCCTTCATTCTCTCTCACATTGAAATTCAACTGATTTGTTGACTTTGTTACATTAAGAACACAATATTCAGCGAAGAGACTCTTTCCAACAACGAATTTATTATCAAGCTGTACAATCGTATATAATATATACATGGTTTTTTTATAAAGAAATTATATCCGGTGAGGGAATTAGGTCAAAGGTGTGAATACATGAAATAATAATAGTAGTATGAAATGCAATTAAAATATTTGTGATTATAATCATAGTTTAATGTCAAGTAGCAAAATAATTAATGTCGTATATAGAATAATACATAAGGTGTATAGATTTTGGAAAGGGGTACATAATTATAAGATTAGTAGACGAATATAAAATGTTACATAACATGGTGTGAAATTAGATAAGATAGAATTCAATATTGTAAAAATAAAAATATAAAAATTAATAATTTTGGGTTTAAAATGTCAAGTGGGTCAAGTGGAAAAGATTCAGAGTGAGAATAGTAATAATAATAATGATAATAATAATAATCGTAGTAATAAGGGAAGAGTACATAGAATAACTAAATAAACAAAATAAATAAATGTCTATCCCTCTACGGCCAAGGCAGAAGTAGGGATTGTACATACTTCTTTTGTACACAAAGGTCTGGCTTAAAGTCATGAATTGCCAAGGCCTCAGCTGTCTTTAGAAGTCTGTAACGAAGAAAACGCGGGAAGTTAGCATGGATTCTATATATGATCTTAAAATCATGGTCAGGGTTGACAGAGTGACAGAAGTCGATCAGGTGTTCCAAAATAGAGCTTCGCACACACTTCCTTTCTCCCTTGTAAAACCATGCTGGAATATGTTCTCGTATCCGTGTGGAAAGCGTCCTCTGACTACGGCCAATGTACCTTGCTCCACAAGAGGAGCAGGTGAACTGATAGATGCACATGGAGGCGGCCAGACGGGGGAGCTTATCTTTTACAGAGGTAGAGAACAACTTGCGGCTAGTGAACGTCATATGTAATTTTGCTGCATAGAACGTCTTACTGACTGATTTAGAGAGACGATTTTTGAGCATATCTGAAGCTTGATCACCTTTGAATTCCAAGTTCATGAATAAGGTTTTCTTTGGAACTGTGTCGGTGACCAGTTTAGACTGCTTATCTTCTTTCATGTTGCTGTCAATAAATCGGTTAGGGTAACCGTTTTCTGAAAGCGTGGCTTTTAAGCGGTCAAGTTCTGAGTCAACGGAATCAGAACTACAAATTTTCCTTATCCTAGAGCAGACAGAGCGAATGAATTAAGTTCCTTTTCCTGGAAATAGGCACCCAACAGTCTCTCTCTCTCGTCTCTTCCCCTCTGGTTTTCTTCACTGTTTTTATTTTTCTCCGGTGTTTTGTTTTTGTTTTTAGTTCACTCGTGTTAAATTCATTGATCAAATACAATTTGGCAAATATGAAATTGATACATGGTATTTCTCCCCATATCCAGAAGAGTGTAGACAAGTGAAAAAATTATGGATATGTGAATATTGTTTAAAATATATGAAATATTGTGAAACATGGTTAAAACATGTCCAGTATAATTGTAAAATGAAACAACCACCTGGTAAAGAAATTTATAATCACGGGAATCTTTGCGTTTATGAATTGGATGGAAATGTACAAAAGGTAAGTTAAGCTTTTTTCTTTGTTGCATGTCCTTATATGAATGGTTTATGAGTTATATTATTATTATTATGGTTATTGTTCCTTTAAAGTCCCAAGTGGAACATAGGGCTTCAGCAGCCCATTTTAGCCGGAACCATGTTTGCTCATAGACTGTCACCTCCTCCTCCTTCGACCCACGCCTAACTTGTCGTTTTCCACTTGGATTCCACATGAGGGCTTGTATTGCGTGTAATGGTCTCCTCTTCCTGACCGATAGCTGTTACCTTGACATGGTGGTGGTCACCGGGCTTGCATATCGCAATGACCCAACAAACTACACTGACTGGAACTATTTTTCCTGCAGGTCCTATACCATGCCAGGAAGGTTGTTAGGATAGCGAGATTAGACTAAAAGCAGTTACCGGCATATTGTAGGAATTTTTTACACTATGCTGGGGGTCTGTGGGCGAAGTCGTACTGCTGGGGAACAGGGATGTAACGGCAGTGAGATGTTTCCCTCACTCACTCGGATGACCAGCATGCCAGTCAGCTATGCTGTCTCTCCACTGCGGAGAGAGAGAGAGTTAGAAAAGGTCGACCCCAACAATTGTACATCCCGACTTACCCTACGGTTGTCCGTAACCGGCGGTGAGTTTACTAATACGGAACCAATTCCCTCAAGCACTTGTCCCCTGGGCTCTGCGGTCACGCAACACTAACCCTATTTCTGTTTCAGGTACCCGAAGAATCAATCAATTTCCACGGTGTGGGCAGCCGGGAAGTAACAACCGCCCCCACACACTTCCAAGAGCACACGAAGCCTCCCCGAGCATCATTCTCCTTTATCCACATTACCGGTCTCCTCAGCGTAGATCCAATCGATCTCCTTTTTCTTCGGCACATCTGTTGGGCAATAGTTGTTGGCGATTGATTCGTCACCAGAGTTCCTTGTTGCTAATTCTTTCTAGCTAACCATCTAATCTTCATTGTCGAAAGCAAGTAGTTGTTGTAATGAGTGTCTGTAAGCTGTCGGAAACAATGACTCAGAATCCATATATCTCCTCAAACAATCAATTAGTTCATGATCAGTCACCACTGTAATTCAAGGAAATTGGCGGTAGTCTGTCATCATTGCTGTACGACAACGGCACATGTAAAGTGATCCACAACGGAAAACTCCGTGAGGCTTTCGGAGTAAACAAAGGAGTCAGAAAAGGGTGCTCACCAATGATATTCCTAATTGTGGTGGACTGGATTATGCGTCAGACAGTGGGAAACGAGAATACAGGGATATCCTGTCCGCACCGACATGAAGAATCTAGAAGACCTGGATTTCGCACGTGGATGATTTATGTTTGATGTCACACAAAATCGAAGACTTACAAGCGAAAACCGACAAACTGGTCGAAGAAGCAGTCAGTGAAGACAGGACTGCAGGTGAACATAGACAAGACGGAGGTTATGAAAATAACCAACCAACAACAACAACAGCAGCAACATCCAGCGCCAATCACCATCAACGGGAGGCATTTGAAAGAGGTTACTTCATTCACTTATCTAGGGAGCATTGTCTCAAATACAGGAGGAACGGACGGACGAGGATGTCAAATCGAGAATCGGGAAGGCGAGAAACACATTCATCAACCTGAAACCAATCTGGAAATCTTTGTCACTCAACTCAGCATCAACAACAAAATTCGGATTTTCAATACAAACGTCAAGTCAGTCAGCTCTTCTATACGGATGGATCAGAAAGTTGGCGGGTCACAAAGAATATTTCCAACAGCCTGTTGCAGACCTTTATCAACAACTGTCTTCGTTCTGTACTCAAGATCAGATGCCGCCGGAAAGAAACACAAACAAGAAACTATGAAAACAAACAAAACAAGAACCAATCGCCCAACAAATATGCAGGAGAAAGTGGAGATGGATTGGACACTCACTGGCTGAGGAGGCCGCTGGGTGACATCGCGCGTCAGGCCATGGCTCGAGTGGAACCCGAAAGGGAAGCAGTGAGTGGGACGTCGAAAGGTGACATGGAGGAGATCGTGTGAAGAGGAGTTGAAACAGCATGGACTAAGATGGATGCAAGTGAAAAGTCCAGCAGAAGACAGAAACATGTGGAGACGTGCAGTTGAAGTCCTATGTTCCACTAGGAACCCAAGGGAACAATAATAATATAATAATGTCATCATTGCACGTATCCAGCGTTTTATTTGAATCATCGTTATGAATTGTCTAGTAGTTAGTAGTATGATGTCGTATTATATATATGCATGAGGCTGAAGAGTATTCACTTTTATGTTTCATTGTTCTTTTTTTTAATGTTGTTTTTCTCATTGTTTCTGTGTTTTTATTGATAGCTTTATTGTCAAAATTTATGCCTATTGGCCAAGTTATTTTTGGATCATAAAACATTATACTATGATGTCTCACCATTTGTATTTTATGTCCTCTGTGAAACTGACAATGAAGGCGTACATCTTGTCGGCTACTTTTCTAAGGTAAAAATCCCCGCTTTTTTGTAATTGATCCTTCTTTTCAACTGTTGGTTGGTTTGCATATGGATTTAGTTGGTTACAGGATTGATCGTGAGCTGGCATCAGTTAGAGAAGGTGTTGGGTTAAAACCCTGATAGGTCGGTCGGTCGGTTTTCGACATAGAACTTTGCACATATGTGCGGAAGTTCAAGTCACCACACTCCCTCCTTGTAGCACACAAAGCAAGAGAAGAAAGTAGAAGAAATGCATAATATAGTCAGAAAGTTGAGGTGTGAGACAAAGGAACAGCGATAACGAAGAACAAAACAGTTTCATTGGAAATCATAAGTCACAAGGAGTTGATGCATCTGCACCAGCCAGCCATTGAGAACGACGAGTTTGAGCCATGTCACCAATTGTTTCCAACCATTGGTTTTTACCGTCCCGAGGACCCCAACGAGTCAGGAAGTCTACACCTTCCTACGTGGCTTAGACTAACTGTTGTAGATTTCATTGACTGGTGCCATGTTTTCCTTTGACCGCCGCTAACTCTTTTCCAGCCTGACTCTATATCACCTAACATTGCCCGTCAGTGGAGGAAGGCGATGACTCGTCATACAAGCGTAACACATGTCCTAACCATCTCAGTCGATGTAATTTCACAGTCTCGTCGACTGATTTCCCCTCCTTACCTAGCACTCGATTCACACCTAACCTTAATATTGCTCACCTTATTATACCACTTCACACCCTCATAGGTGTGTACTGAAGAGCTCCAAGCTAGGATGAAACAGCTGTCCAGTACTCCCTGGTTAACCAATGGTTCACTAGAGGGGATGTCCACGTGTGATCAAAACTGACCCTCATTTGTTAGACATTTGAAGATGGTGATTCTTTTTGGATTGTGATAGGCGCTGATATATACAGATGTAATAAGCAGTATAACTGACTTACTTAGTTTCGATGTAGAACACAAAGGTCGGAGAAAGAAGAGATTCAAGAGAACTATAACAAACAGAAATGTGCGGGAGAAACAATAATTATATATGGAGAATAATTAGGACTTGATGTATTCTGGAAGATTGCAAAAAGTGAACACATCTGCTCTGTTGAGAACGGTATTAAGCGATATCACCAACAGTCTCCATCCACTGGTTCATAGTATCTTGACCTCTCCATGGAGGTAGTCTACACCTTCTTACGTGATTGGCTTCAGTTAACTGTCAACGAATTCATTTGAGCACTCCTAACTCTTTTCCAACCTAGTCTCCAATATCAGCCAATATTTCTCTCTGAGAAAGGTAGCGGCTCGGAATGTGTAACACGTGTTCTGGCCGTATTAATCGATTAACCCCCCCCCTAACCCAACATAGTGGACAGGAATGGTTTAATATTTATTGCAGTACATCAATTCATCAATTGACGAAATTTAGCCTTGTTGATAACTTTTTGTAGGATAAATCGCTTGAAGGCGGAATGACCTGACTCCAGAAGGTAGGTAGGTAGGTTCACAGATAGAAGACTTCGTCATCCTATGTTCAGTTACGCGTTTCCTGAGAAAATGCCTATAACGCCCAATGTAATCACCTACACGGGAATCTGTGAAAATCTAGATACACATAAAGGTGGACATAAGCGGTAGTTTAGCCTTCACGTATTATCGAAATCATACTTCGTTTAAAGAATACTAGGTGTGTGTGTGTGTGTGAGTCAGCGGCATGGAAAGGGCGTTCAGTACACATGAATAGAAGAGTTTTAATTACTTTGGCGATAGTATCACTTTTAAATGTCAAACTCATACATAGTGATCTTCTTCCCCCCATATTTGTTTTTTTTAAATAATAAAGAGTATGGTATTAATGGTTTTACAGGTTCTTTGTCGACCACATCTCTCGAACAGATGTTTTCAGAACAAAAATTATAATTAGAGCGAACAGGTGTTTTCTTCTTCAGACCCTACAATTATGAATGCATGAATTTGAGCTTACAGTTACCATTGTAACAACAGAAGACAAGGGCCAGGCAACAGATCGTTTATTACGAAAAATCAACACGTATTTATAGATTTTTATGTACATTGTTGTAGGTCAATGTTAGTAGAAAATACAGTCTGTTGATTGGTTGTTTCTCACACAAAGTTAACCTTGCATCTCTTGTGGCTGTGTCAGTTCATCTATATGTCAACTGTAACCGCCTGTCCACCTTGACCTTTGACCTCAATCACTGTCAACCAATTTGGCCAGCAACCATCTCTCACCACAACATGACTAATATTTGATACATAAACATTGACCTCAATTACTGTCCACCACTTGGCTAGTAGACAGCTCTCACCAGACTCGTCCCCCCGTCAAATAGTTTGGACTGAAGTCGGCTCGGTCTTCTCGGTTCTTGGGGCTTTGCTCTGTTGTCTTGCTGTCTGGAATCTCGGCGCTTGCGGATATCCACTTGTTTAACGGTGTCTACCATTGCGATTGTGTCTGCGTAACCCCATCTCAACGTGACCATATATGGTCCTTCCCACTTTGGAAACTGTTTGCCTGACCCTGTCGCACATTCGTAGGTATTTCGCCTCACACTTCCATATGCTGCTTTCTCCCGACCTCCCAGCAGCGTGCCAAGTAGCAGCCTCATCGCTGACAGATCTTGAACGCCACTCAACTGCGAAGAAGCCTCGAAATCCTGCCCGAAGATCCATATGTCTCCATCAAAAACTGCAGGGCATAGGCTTTCCATTTGTCGGTAGGCAGCGACACCAAATGTAACAACAGAAGACAAGGGCCAGGCAACAGATCGTTTATTACGAAAAATCAACACGTATTATAGATTTTTATGTACATTGTTGTAGGTCAATGTTAGTAGAAAATACAGTCTGTTGATTGGTTGTTTCTCACACAAAGTTAACCTTGCATCTCTTGTGGCTGTGTCAGTTCATCTATATGTCAACTGTAACCGCCTGTCCACCTTGACCTTTGACCTCAATCACTGTCAACCAATTTGGCCAGCAACCATCTCTCACCACAACATGACTAATATTTGATACATAAACATTGACCTCAATTACTGTCCACCACTTGGCTAGTAGACAGCTCTCACCAGACCATCAGCCCCAACGAGTTGATCTCTGACGAAATCTCAGCTGAGTACGGATACAGAGGGCTAGTTTCGCATATGCCAGTTTACGCCGTCTATGGCGTATACGTGATATCCAACTATCGACCAAAGGGCGTGTGTACTGCTCATCAGTCCGCTCCGTCCTCCTTTATGGCTAGCTGTGAGACCTGGCCATTGAGAGTGGAAGACATGAAAAGGCCAGCCAGCTGACTTTGATCATAGGTGTCTGCGTTCTATCTCCCGTGTGAATTGGTATAATAATAATTATTATTGTTTCCTTTAATTCCTAGAGGAACATAGGGCTTCAGCAGTGCGTCTCCATTGCGTTCGGTTCTCTGCTAGAGTCTTCACCTGGCTCCAAATCTGCCCACATGGTTTCATCTCCTCTTCACATGACCTCCTCCAAGTCACCCTTGCACTGACGACCAACTAGCCGCTTCCCTTTCGGGTTCCACTCGAGCAATGGCTTGTCTAATGATGTCACTTGATGGTTTCCTTAGAGTGTGGCCACCAATCCACCTCCATTTCTTCCTGCCTATTTGTTTCACAATCGGTTCCTGCTGAGTTGTTTCGCTCATTGCCAGAGATCTCTGTTGCTGATCTTTTCTGGCCGGCCATCTGATCTTGAATAGTATTGAGCAAAGACAACTGTTAATGAAGGTCTGTAGTTTGTTTGAGATGCTCTTTATGACGCACCAAGTCTGTGATCCGTATAGCAAGTAGCACTGACTTCACATTGGAGTTGAAAATCCGGATCTTATTTTTGATGCTGAGTGCTGTTGACCTCCACACAGACTTGAGAGTAGTGAAAGCTTGTCTTGCTTTTCCGATTCTTGCTTTGATATCCTCATCAGTTCTGTCCGCCTGTAGTTGAAACGACGCTTCCAAGGTAGGTAAAAGAGGCTGTTTCTTTCAGGTTCCTCCGAGTTCCTCAAGGTAAGGCTTTATTTTTGGTTTTTTTTCTTTCTCATGACCAAGATTTGGAAAGTAAAAGTTGACGTGTAAATTGCTGTCTACCCCAATTTTGGCTAGTAGGGACAGCTCTCACCACATCTTGATAATGTTGATGTTGACGATATAAAATGAAATTATTCTCTCTGTGTTTCTTTTATACACTTCCATTTACTTTCTTTTTTTTACAGGAAAAAGTATCAGCCGATAATTATAATCTTGCGTGTATTTTAACATTGCCACCGTTTCAAAGACGAGGTTATGGGCATTTTTTAATCAGTCTTAGTAAGTGTTTGAATGAAAAGTTATTGCCTTGCCTTTTATTATAATGCATAAATACTCATTCACCATGTATAAATAACTGTTTTCATAACAACATATCTCAATTTTATGCTGTTTTCTGTGTAGTCCTCTTTAGTTAGCTGGCTCCTCGAATTGACCACCACAAGCTTTCATCTCCTCGCCGCACGATCTTCTCCACGCCCAACTCGTTGTTTCTCAATCAAGGGTGGTCTGGCGTGTGATGGCAACTAACGGTTTTCTTATCATGTTTCCATTCTCCTTTATGGCTGTGAGACCTGGCCATTGAGAGCAGAAGACATGAAAAGATTAGCTGGCTTTGACCAAAGGTGCCTGCGTTCTATCTCCCGTGTGAAGTGGTATAATAAGCTGAGCAATATTGAAGTAAGGCATCGGTCGAGGGCTAGTTAAGTGGGAGGGGGAGTCAATAGACGAGGCTGTGAAATTTCATCGACTGAGATGGTTAGGACATACGTTACGTATGCCTAGTCATCGCCTTCCTCGACTGACGGGGAATGTTAGCTGATATAGGGTAAGGCTAGAAAAGAGCTAACGGTGGTCAGACGAAAACATGGAACCAGTCAATGAAATCACTGACAGTTAGTTTGAGCCACGTAGGAAGATGTAGACTTCTTGACTGGTTGGGGTCCTCGGGACGGTAAAAATCAGTGGTTGGAAACAATTGGTGATGTGGCTCGAAATCGTTCTCAATGGCTGGCTGGCGCAGATGCATCCACTCCTTGTGACTTATGATTTCCAATGAAACTGTTTTGTTCTTCGTTATTACTGTTCCTTTGTCTCACACCTCTGTTTACTGTCTCTAATATGCATTTCTCCTACTTTCTTCTCTTGCTTTGTGTGCTACATGGAGGGAGTGTGGCGACTTGAACTTCCGCACATATGTGCAAAGTTCTATGTGGGAAACCGACCGACCGACCATCATGTGTCCGAGGCATCATCATTTTCTTCGGCATCTATATATTTGTCGGGCACTAGGTTGTTGGTTGGTGCCGGCCCAGAGTTTCCTGTTGCTTACTTATCCTTTCAGGCCATCTAATCTTCAGTGTGGAGCGAAGTGGGCAGCTGATGATGAAAGTCTGTTGGAAATACTTTGAGTGACGTGTTTGCGAAGTCTCTGAACCATATAGAAACACTCGGCTGACTTGACATCCGAATCTTGTTCTTTATGCTCAGTGCAGTAGACTCCCAAACTGATTTTAGATTGATGAATGTCCCGATCCTCATCTATGCCACATGTAGTAGAAACGGTAGGCAGACATAAAGATATACAGCATAGTCAGAGTTCTCAGGCATTAATGCTATCAGTTTTTTGGGGGTGAGGTGGGGTGGGGTGGGATGATGTCAAAGCCACCAACATGCACTTGATACAATTCATTGTCTAGGCCATGAATGTTTACATGGTTTCAGAGTGAAATCATCGTTCGTACAGCTTTAATAGACCGTCTACGATTAAGTATCTGAAACTTCTTATACAGAAAATCAAAACAAATGATTCAGCGAAGAGACTTTTCAACGAATTTATCATCAAGCTGTACAGTCGTATATATATGGTTTTAAGAAGTTATATCCGGTGAGGGAATTGAAACATAGGTGTGAATGCATCAAATAATAATAATAATATGAAATGCAATTAAAACTAAAATGTTGGTGATTATAATCGTAGTTAAATGTCACGTGGCAAAACAATTAATGTCATATATAGAATAATTCATAGAATGGATAGAACTTGAAAAAAGGTGTGCAATTATAGGATTAGTAGACAAATCGAATAAGAATAAAAGCGTTACGTAACATTGTGTGAAATTTGATAACATGGAATCTAACATTGCGAAACAGAATTGATTTAGAATGACAGGTGGAACGAGTGAGATAATATCGGGGACAGTTCAAAGTAAGAATAGTAATATTAGCAATTGATGTAATAAAGGAAGAGTGTACACATTGAATAGACAAAATAAAAAAATTGGTACAGTCAAAATATGAAATGGTGATTACCATACTTTGGCATAGAGGGATTAAGACCATGAAAATTGGAGGGGTTGAACGAACTTTTTCTGTACACAGAGATCTGGCTTTTCTGTTTCGATAGCCAAAGATGGCTTCAGCAATACAGATGAGTCGGGTACGTAGGGATTTGGGTAAATTACTCTTTGCCTTGTAGATGACTTTAAAGGCGGAGGCTATAGAGATAGGGTGATCATTATCGACCAGATATTCAATGATACCTCTTCCCTGCTTTATTCGGCCGTTATTTAATTAGGTGTATGCGTTAATGTGTGTTTACTGCCTTCACGAGATGGAGGTGTTCTCAAAAAAGAGCGAGAGGGCGAATGATAACATCTGGTGCTCACAACCAGATTGGTGGACATACTAGTCTACTTAGGGGAGACGGGAAACTCTCGTTCCAAACCTATGGGCTACATAGGCTTCAGAAGCCGAATGGATTGAACCTGTTTTGGTCACCAGGTACCACTGAAACGTAGCTCCTGACTCTGCTCCACTGCATTGTTGACCAGGCTTCAATTCAAGGAATCAGGAGACGACCGCTTAAGGCAACCATCTGTTTCGGTCGGGACATCTCGCCTTCGCACTAACTGTGAGATTTTGTGTAGTGATGCATCTATTGGTGCTTATAATGTACCACTGAGTTTGTGTTTCATTGAATAATAATAATAATGAATGAGTGTTAGTTTGTTTAGAGTGTGGTAACGTTTCCTTTTATATGTACCGTAGAATTCCACCCGCATCGGTAGCCTGTGACAAGTGGAAGATGTTTACAAAAGTTCCCGATCCTCTGTCTCTTACTTGCTTCTACTAATCAATGGTGTATCTGCAGTGCAACCTTAAGGAAGCTTCTATCTTATCTAAAAAAAATTTCACCAAGTTTTGTTAGGGTTGTTAATGTCTTAAGCTGTTTCGCCATTGGTATTTTTAGGTCTTAAATAATAGGGTGGCGTGTGCTACTGTCAAGATTTATAAGTAGTATATAGATACAGATATAAAATATATATATGTCATTTGCAAGAGTGTCGAATAGCGGAGAGAGGGATTTAACGGTGAAGAGAAGAAAAAATTTGCCAATATTGTACATCGTTGCCAAATACCCTTGTATTCTAGCGCTACATTTACTGTTAGTCTAAAAGCTGTTAAATGTGGTTGAATATATTCTGCGAATCTTGCAACCAACCAAACTTTGACTCATCTCAAAGTCTGTACAGTGGTGGAGCTTCTATCTCGTTGAAGTTTTTCACTAACTGTGACTATAAAACTCTGCTCTCCCTTCAAGAACTGTCGTAGTTTCCTGTTCGAATTCTGGAAGGTAATGTTCTTTATCGTCAAGATTTTCTCAGACAGAGGTTTTATCTCACCCAACAACCTAAGATTCCTCTTGGCTATCTGAGATTTCGTCGTGTTTTAATACGTTAAAACTACCTGTACACCCGATAAACAGTGCACAGTGTCTTCAGATGCGAGTGACTGCGGAATAGGTGTAGTACTAAGACATAGTGAGGGTGTTATTGAATTTGCCAGTCATGTTCTAACACAAAGAGAAGAAGCATTCATGGTTGATAAAAAATGTTTAGCAATAGTTTGTGCATTAGACAAATGGAGATCGTGTATGCAACTCGGTCAACGGTTCTACATCGAAACTGATCATAAGCCGCTACAGGGGCTAAAGTCGGCGAGAGTCCCACGTGGGAAATTGTCCCGGTGGATGTTGTGCCTACAAGTGGATGACTTCACGCTGTCTCACATCTCTTACTGGAAGATGAAACTGGGTTACCGGGGATTGCTTACGGAATATGGAACAAGATCCATTAAGACTTGCTTGCAGTTAAAGATGTGACCCTACCCTAAATACAGTGATACAGGTGATCACTAACGGATTGGAGGTTAGTCGACCTATGGCGAGTGGAGAGCTAACCAAACTGCTCAGGCAGAAGGATCGATTATGATTGAACTTCTACGGAACTCTGGTTTGGCAAGAAAACGATGGAAGCCATGAGATGACATGCATATTTATATCTGTATCTCTATACTACTTATAAACCTTGTGAGTAGCACACTTCACAATAGTAAAAGTGTCAGTCAATAGAGAAACACGCTTCATCCATTGTTTCATCAATACTCTCTTGCGTTGTACTCGGAGTTAACTTATCTGTTGTTTAATATGATGTTTTAATGCCTTTTCTTTTTTTAATGTTATCAAGGTTATGAATTAGCAAAGATTGAACAAGTTGTCGGTACACCAGAGAAACCATTATCCGATTTAGGTCGTCTGAGTTATCGTAGTTATTGGGAGAAGGTTATCTTGAATTATTTTCTAGAGCATTCAGATTGTACTATGAATGAAATAAGGTGAGTTGTGTTTTTTTTGGCAAATGTTATTGTTACAAGTGAACTTTTGATTTTTCCCGTTGATTGACTGGATGTGGGAATGTTCCACCTCTGTTTACATTTTGACTCCTACTGAGTACAAATGCGTCGACGATGTTTTTAGGAGTAACTTGAATTAATTTGGTGGAAAGTGACAAGTAGTGGAATTCAGGATGCGAATTTCTCTCTCTCTAATTGGGATTCGTCATCTGGATGTACTCTGGATTCCCCGATGGATGACAGTGTTCCCAGTGAGACTCGAAACCAAATACCTATTGTTTCGAATATCAAAGCGTTGTCCACAAGACCACTTGGGTCAAAGAAGCCACCTGGTGTGCATTCGGATGGTTCGAACAGATTATTAAGCCGTTTTGAACTAAGTCAGTCTTAGTATGCTGTTGATGAGCTTGACCTCAGACAAGCGAAACCATCTTTCATTGTTTTGATCGCATCGTTGTGTAGCCAGCAAGCAATAATACTGCTTGATGTCAGTGGTTTTATTTTCTGCCTTCATACTGTTCGGCTCTGGGTGGTTGCTTGTCCAGTGCTCCCATCTTCCGTCTCTTTCGAGCTCATTGTCGCCTTTAACAATATAAGAACAAATTAGTTCAGGGACGAGTCTCTTTTCGGCGAATTCATTCACTTACCTGTACAGTCGCAAATATATACAATTAATTTTTTTTGTGTGTGCACATTAGGTTTGTCAAAATCAAAATAACAGTTAGTGTGGGTTGTTGATTACATCATCAAAATAATTAAGAAATTAAAATGTGTGATTAATAATCAAAGTTGTAACTAAGTGGGGTGAAGATTGGTAAGATGTGAGTAGGGTTGCGTAATATAGACATGTTTAGAAAGATTAGATGTTAGTGAAGGAGTATGGAGACAATTATGAAAATAAACTAGATAATAGGTGAAAAGATTGAATGGGTTAGTTACTAAAAATTATTATACGAAAATTGCAAAAAGAAATTTGATAACAAAATGTTGATGACAGATAAACTTGAAATTAAACCCACGGTAGTAGAAGGGGGTGGAGAAGTTTCTTCTGTATGCATAAATCAGGCTTTTCCATCCAAATCGCTAAGGCTTCGGCAATACAAAGTATACGGAAGCTTGTCGACTTTGGAAGGCTTCTTTTGACTTTATGGATGACCTTGAACGACTTCTTGCAAATTGAATGACCAGTGTTGAGTATATGCTCAATAATGGCGCTCCTTATTGCTCCGTTGTTACCTTTCCGTAGCCAGGCGGGATAGTGTTCTTGAGCTCTTTGATTATTAATCACACATTTTAATTTCTTAATTATTTTGATGATGTAATCAACAACCCACACTAACTGTTATTTTGATTTTGACAAACCTAATGTGCACACACAAAAAAAATTAATTGTATATATTTGCGACTGTACAGGTAAGTGAATGAATTCGCCGAAAAGAGACTCTTCGCTGAACTAATTTGTTCTTATTTCAATGTCTTAATGGGTATTTTTCGCGAATTAACAAAATTAAGCAGGGTTTTGGTAATTATTTCTTAGGCCACACGGGAATCGAATCCACACCTCCCGTATGGATCGTGAGTATTGTGGTATCGAAACACACCGACTTACTAATTATAATATTTAATGATTATAACTGAGAATGAAAGGCTTATATTGTTCTGTATTTCTTTGTAAATATTTGAAAAGTTAGAGTAATTGAGTGGTTGGGTATTTCTGTTAATGCCTTATTCACCTCAAATCTCTGGAAGATTACATAAATTTGAAGAATAATGTTTAGATATGTTAGGGGTCAGCTCATTCTTTCTTTACAAGAAATTAGGCATAAGTAGGTACGATTTAGATATCCGGGTTGTTTTACATTTTCCTCTGAAGCAGGCAGCAAGTGGGTGGACTTCGGTCTTCCTTTCAGAATGCTGTCATGTAACCACGTGTCCATAACCTCTGCCATTTAAGTCGTATTAACCGTCTTCTCACTTTAGGACCGTTCCTCAGACACAGTGAAAGGGCGAATTCGGACGTTTGGAACTTAGAACCGCTCTGGTTGACATGCAAATCCACCTAGGGGTGGTGGAGAATCCTAATTCCAAACCTGTGGTTTACATGGGCTCCAACATCTGAACAGATCAACCAGTTTATGAGTCTGTTTTAGCCACCGGAATCCACGGGGACTCTGGTGCTGATGACTCTGTTCCATTGCTTTGTGCACCGCATTCTAAGTCAGCATAGTATTTACTCTGTGATCACTGAGCAATCCTATGCAATCTCTCGTATTCAATCCTGGTCATTTTTATAGATTAGTTATTGTGACCGAAAGGTAAAGTGCTCGCCAACCACGTCATACATGATTTTGCGTTCGATTCCCGACCGACTCAATCCTTTAAGTCGTTAAGCCGATAGTAAGCCTGGTAAAGAGCAAAGGTCGGGCGTGAGGCTAGCAACCCCACTCCGTAAAAATAAAATCACTGCTACGGAAACCTTAAAGCTTGACACTTCAGGCCTTATGTTTCACTCGGAACGTAAAGGAATAAAATTAAAAAGTTGTGCTTTTGCTCATGACTTCAATCAGGGATAGATGCTGGAGCACTTATATTTCGTTTACAAAAAATTAGTATCCTCATGCTCATACCACAATTAGTTATCGTGTCGACTTTTACACCCCGAAATCTAGAGCATAGTTAATGATCGTTGCTCTGGCATAATACTAGACCTGATGTGCATAACCGAACTCATTGTCTGGTCTAGAAACCAAAAAGAATACGTAGACTTGCCCAACCACATGCCGGATACGAAATGTACCGTTGCTATTATGGAAGGGATTAATTAAACTTAACGGCGTTGAGTCTAAGTCCCTCTGATGGTAGCGTTGCATCAGTTGACCTTTCGACAGCAGGCACTTATATCAACTATTTGAATGAACTTGGGGGTTCCTCTCGTTGTATTTGTATTCCTTTACGTTCTCAGTGGAACATGGGGCCTTAAGCTAGAGCCAGCTTGAAGTTTCAGTAGCAGTGGTGCTTATTTTTACGGGATGGGGTCGCTAACCTCATGCCCAACCTTCCCTCTTCACCAGTCTTATTACTAGCTTGGAGGGTAAACGTGTGCGTCGACCGGGACTCGGACCCCGAACCAACTATGCTACCGACGCACGCAGTTCCTCTCGTACTAGACAGGATTAACAATAATGTACTCATAGGTAGGGTTAAACTAACCTGTCTTACGACGGTCCAAATCATACTCACTTTGTCTATGAGTAGTGAGTGATGTGAATACTGCTTCACAATGATAGGAAGAGTTGACATGACATCAAACACACTAGGTTTGCAGCTAATGTATGCCCAGAATTCCAGTCCCACGCCCCATGCCTACTGCAATCTGGGAAACTAGAACTATTTGCCAAAATACATACAGATATGCTTTTTAGCCGTGGTACATATGAAGGATCTATTCCGACTTCATGGAGGATTTCATCATGAGCTGACGCATCAGTTAGAGAACCATTGGAAAACCACCTGGGAGTACTGGACAGGACTAGGACTGTTTTGTCCTAGTTTGGGAGTCTTCGTCAGTGCGTACTGCTGAAGAGTCGCAAACTAGAACGAAGCAGCTATCCAGTACTCCCAGGTGGTTTTCCTGTGCTTCTCTAACTGATGTCAGCTCATGATGAAATCCTCCATGCAATCAAACAAACAAAAAATCCCTACAAAACCAATACTTGAATATATTCCGACTTTATAAAATCACAATCAGCTTTTTTCTTTTTCTGTTCATTGATCGATTGTTTCACCTATTCTTTTATTTTTCGTTTCTCTTGTCAGTACAAATACCTGTATTGCTATTGATGATATAATTTGGACATTACAAAATCATCCGGTGATTACAAACTGGCAATATGGTCAGCATATACACATACAACGTGATATTGTCCAACAATATCTTGACCAGTTGAATGAACAACACTCAGCTAAATTGCATTTTCATACAGATGGTAGTAAACATCGAAAAGTTAATAAAAATTCTTATCTTCTTGATATTAGTCATTTGAAATGGGAACCACCAGTAAAAAGAAATAACAATAATAATAATACTAAAGAAGTTAAGTGTAATTGAATGAGTAGCACAGTTGTTACTTGCATTTGCTTCTTCTTCAGAGAGAGACAGAAAGCCATTATCTTCTCAGTATATTATTGTTTTTACACATAAATTAATAACATCATTGAGTTTTCTTTTTTTTTCAAAAAAAACCCCCACTTTTTTATGTTATCTATTTTGATACATGATGATTCCTTGTTGATTATTTATTTCTCATTTAATATACTACTTATTTCTATTTTTATTAAGATTTTCCTGGTGTTTGTGTATGTGTAGTGTACATACGTGCTTTATTCATATAATAAATGTGCATTTATATTATATACATTGATAATCGATGCATTTCTTTTACAAGTGGTTGATTTGCACGGGTCGCGTGAGGTGAAATCAGTTAGAGAATCATTGGGAAATCATTTTTGTTGCTTCATTTCATTTATTGTGTGCCGTGCAAAATACGTGAAGGATTGATTCGCGAAGAGCAGGCTGGGTTTCGTTCAGGTCGTGGATGCATTGATCATGTGTTCACCCTTCGTCAGTTGTTGGAACACCGCCACACGTATTGCAGGCCAACGATCGTTGTGTTTATTGATATTAGGGCTGCCTTCGATTCGTTGGATAGAACTGTGCTCTGGAACTGTCTGTTAGAGAGAGAGGTGTACCTGAGAAATTTGTTAACATCTTGAAAGCCCTATACAGAATCACCTCAGGTAGAATGAGGGCATACAACCAACTATCACCACTGTTCCCAACCAACAGTGGGGTTAGACAGGGTTGCCCAATCTCTCCATTTCTCTTTAACTTTGCCATCGATGACATTCTGGAGTCAGTTCTGAAGGATGTGCGTGAAGGTGGTGTAGATCTGCTACCTGGAGATAGACTTTTCGACCTCGAGTATGCAGACGATATCGTCTTACTGTGCGATAGCATGCAGGCTACCCAAATCGCACTTAATCAGTTGGCGATCAGTGTCTGTAAGTATGGTATGTGCTTTGCGCCGTCTAAGTGCAAAGTACTGTTACAAGATTGGCAGGAGCCTGTACCTGCACTCACTCTTGCGGGTGAACCGCTTGAAGTTGTTGATAAGCTTGTGTATCTGGGTAGTTGTGTGAGTGCTGGCGGAGGGGTGACGGATGAGATTTCCAACCGTATAATGAAGGCTAGGGTGGCATACATCAACTTGTGCCACCTCTGGCGCCGTCGCGATGTTAGCCTGGCTGTCAAAGGTCGGGTATACAATGCTTCGGTGTGGGCTGTGTTGCTCTACGCTTGTTAAACCTGGCCTCTCCGAGCTGAGGATGTGCGGCGACTCTGCGTGTTCGATCATCGCTGTCTCCGCAAGATTGCTTGCGTTCGATGGCATCATCGTGTGAGTAATTCTGAGGTTCGGCGGCGTGTGTTTGAACACAGTGGAGATCACCATTCATTGAGTGTCATCATCTGGAAACACCGGCTCCGGTGGCTTGGACATGTGCTGCGAATGTCATCCCAGAAGCTTCCGTACAGGTCTCTGTTCGCTAGCCCTGGGACGGGATGGAAAAGGCGGAGGGGTGGTCAGTCGATGACGTGGCGTCGTGGGATGAAGGATATTTGTGCTAGATTAGCATCGGTTGGTGCGTCACGACTCCCTGGTTGGGGTCCGCGAGATAGTTCGAATCGATGGCTCGAAACGTTATCGGATATGGCTAAGAATCGTAATCAATGGCGAATGCGTTGCAATTTCCTTCTTTCTTCCCTTCCTGATGATAGTTAATGAATACTGTGTGAACTAGTTAAACATGACTGCTTTCCTTCCAGATGAAGTTCTTTATCCGTTTTCTCCTTATAATTTTACTTTTAATCTGTTGTTTTATTATTATTGTGTGGCGCATCTTTCTTGGTGCCATATTGTACCAAGTTTTTCTGCGTTTAAATAATAATAATAACAATAATAATAAATCATTGGGAAACTACTGTCAAGGGGTATACCGTGTGAAGTGGTATAATAGGGTGAGCAGTGTTGACGTTAGACGTAGGTAGAGTGCTAGGTAAGAAGGGGGCGGGGGAAATCCAATCGACGGCGAGGTTGCAAAGTTACATTGATTGAGATGGTTAAGACATGTGTTACGTATGTCTAGGCATCCATCGCCTTCCTTGACGGTCAGGTCAATGTTAGCTGACATAGGATGGATCAGGTTGGAAAAGGGCTAGTGGTGGCTTCATCAGTCAATGGAATCCACAAAAGTTAGTTTAAACCAGCCACCTAAAGATGTGTAGACTGCTGTCTGGTCGGGGCTCTCGGGATCTTAAGAACCAGTGATGGCTGGAAATCGTTCTCAATGGCTGGTGCAGGTGTATCTGCTCCTTGTGATTTATAATATCCAATAAAACTATATTGTTCTTCCATATTACTATTGTTTTTACCTCACACCTATCTCTTTCTTGAATCTCTTTTTACTCTCTTCTCTTGCTTTGTGTGCTAGGTGAAGTGTGGCAACTCGACCTAGTGCACATCGGTGCAAAGTTTTGCTTTGAAACCAGTCACTCACTACAACTGTTTCGTCCTATTTTCCGATTTTTCATCAGCGTGTACCCATAGGAGTTTGAATCCAGCTATAAGCCGAACTTGTAGGACCATTCAGCTACTGGGATCCGATTCATTGGCCCATGAATTCAGCTTTTCACATCTGTTTACAAAACATATCATTTGAAATGTGAATATTTTCGTGTGTTGATTTGAAAGGGGTTGGGGTTGGTTTGGTTGATTTTGATGTTACATCAGTAGGTGATTGATGTCAATCAGAGAAGTATTGAAGACCATCTAGGAGTAATTGTATGAGTGTTTCATCCCAGCTTGAGAATTCGATTCCGGGTAGGTTGGGGCATGAGTGCGTACCGACTGATGAAGAGTCTCCAAAAAAACGAAACGGTTGATCAGTACTCCTTAGTTTACAATAGTTCTCCAACTGAAGTCGCTTGGTGGTCATAATTGATATGCACTTTTTTTTAAACTTACAGAACTCAAATCCTTATTAACAGTATATGGCATGAAATTGTTAAATGTAAAAAATTAATTGAGTGGAACGTTTCAAAGGGTTTGTCACTCCATCTGTTCCGGGGGTGGGGTGGAGTAGATTTGTGACAAGGCCCAAATCAGCGTAGATAAGACAAGCCAGTTTTCGGCACTGCTCATCAAATTATTTCATTTCTGACGCCAGTAGTAGTCAGACGTCTTACTATCCTATCCAAAAGGTTTACTGGACATTGTATTTTATATTATCGAAACACAATCTTGGTACATCATGGGCACCAGACTAAATCTGATAGTTTGTACGGGGGTTGCGATACTACCCCGACGATCGAACCGAATCAGGTGGTTGTCGTATGGGGTTACTCCTACCCTGACTCTTCGACTTGAAGTCTGATCCACAATGCAGTGGACAGGCGTCAGGAGCTACATTCCCATGGTTGACAGTGACCAAGGCTTGTTCATGTAACGTTCGATCCGTTCAGATTGTGTAGTCCATGTAGACTATAGGTTTGGAATCAGGGTTTTCCAAACCCCCCTTAGGTAGACTAACATGTTCACCAGTCCTGTTGCAAGTGCCAGACTCTCGCAGTCGCCCTTTCACTTTTATGGGGTACACCCCTATCGCATTTACATTGATGAATCAAGAAGAATTCGCTTCTTTCTTCCATACATTTCACTACAAGTGTTAGTTTGTAGGGATTTGATTGGTTACAGGTTTGACCATGAGCTGACATCAGCTGGAGAACCATTGAAAAATCACCTAGAGTACTTGCGATCCGTGGTGATTAATGGTGTTCCCACTGAGATTCCAACCCAGAACCCATTGTTTCAAATACCAAAGCGTCAGCCACCTCAATGGGAGTACCATCACTCCTTGGGAACTGTAGATACACGCAGCTCACGAGCCCCAAATAGAACGAAATGCATGTCCTAGACTTGATTGCTGGTCACCATCCACTAAATATTAACAAGTTAATCTTCAGACATTGTTGAAGTATCCGTAGTAGGAGCGGACATGTCAAGAAAGGACCAACACTGAAGTCAAATCAACATATTTAGTAAATTTACCTATCATGTAAGGCTTATATGGAGAGTGTGTTCAGAAACTGCCAACTATACGAGGATATAATAGATGTACAAAATTTACTAACATATTTTGTATATCATTCCCATTTTCTCGGTTCTTTCCTGTTTGATAAATTTTTAATTCCTGGAAATTTTCCCCACACTATATACCTACTGATAAACCTTTAAAAGTAGTCTATTTAAAATAAATTAAAAATTAAGTGTTTGTCAAATTGTGTGTGGTCTGTCGAAGAATTACCACAGTGTAGGAAAGACTACACAGTTATTATCCCGTAGTTATCCAGTCTTTACCATTACAGAACCATCACATTATTACTCCCTTAGGTTCCCGTTGGTACATGGGTCTTCAGCAGCTCATCCCGGTTTTACTGTTTTTTATAGCCTGTTTTAACTGGCTCCATGGTTGCGCATAAGCTTTCCTCTCCTCCTCACATGATCTCCTCCTGTCACCCCCCTTGACCCACGCCGAACTCGTCGTTTCCCACTTTCGTAACACTTTTGGACCTGCTACGTGATATCACTCAATGGTCCCCTTATGGTGTTAGATAGTTGGAGGCAATCGGCCACAGGATGCCCCGCTTGACCTCCGTTTCGTGCTAGTTGGCACTCATCAGCTAGGCGGATCTGCAACCTTGGAAAAACTCATGTCCCTTCTGAGATTGGAACCTACGTCACCCAGTGCTGCCTACAGTCAGAGACGTTACCACTGAGCTATTCGGGCTCGTGATTGACCTCCTGTAGGACTGTAGTGGGTATTTTGATTGAACACTAGTAACTAAATGTGGTGTGTCTAGTCCTTTGTTTGATACACACTGAATTCTGTCAGTCAGGTTTGCAATGTGGCCACCTTTCTAGGTAGCTGGCCATCACAGTGCACATTGATTTGATGATATTAGATAGTTGAAGGTAATCGGCACTTTGCTGACGCGTGCCAGTTGACATGAAACCTAGGTCGAAGGCTTCCTGCCGATTGTCTCAAACCATCTAATATCATTAGAAGACAGAAGTGAAGGAAATACCGCACCAATAACACACATTACTCTCTATCAATATGAGAAATCTAGAGTATGTTATTTCTTTCTATTATCGGGTGTGGGAAGACGGTAAAACAGATGAAGATGTCAAAGCCAGTTGATAACGAGAAAGTATTGACAAGCATTCATTACCGTAAAATTAATAT